GTTCAAAATGGTCAGTTTTACCAGTCATCAAACCAAAAATGTGAGTTCGCTATGTAGACGACACATTCGTCATTATCAAAAGGAATGAGCTGGAGAATATCTACAGTCGGATTAACAACGTCTTCGATGACATAAAATTCACCATGGGGAAAAGGAATCAAACAACAGTCTATCATTCTTGGATATTCTAATCACCAGAACTAACACAGGAAAACTAGAAACTCAAGTATTTGGGAAGCCAACGCACACAGACGTTATTCTTAACTACGGTAGCAACAACCCAAGAACCCACAAAATCAACTGCATACAAAATTTGTTCAAGAGAGCAAAGACACACTGCAGCACATATGAAGCACTAAAAAACGAGGAAAAACATCTTATGACTATCTTCCAGAAGAATAGCTATCCAAACAACCTCAATCAGAAAACATCGACCGAAATCATCAACAGAAGCGAAATCAAGTGCAGGAACCAATAAATGGATCATCCTACCATACATAAAAGACATATCGGAGTATACAGCACGATAACTGAAACCATTTGGAACAGGTGTGGCACACAAACCAACAGAATCACTTCAATCAATCCTATGTAGACCAAAGGACAAAATGACAAATGAAGAAATACCATATTTCATCTGCAGAAGAAATCGCTCAGATTGTGAAAAGCATTACATAGGACAAAGCGGATGGACTCTTCAGCTTCGTTTACATGAACAGCAATTAGCAGTCAAACGCCACGACAATTCTTCGCTTATATCAATACACACCGACAATTATGGACATACATTCGATCCGAACAACGTGGAATGACTTGTTAGAGGGCGGACAAAGAGCACTAGAGAATTTTTAGAAGCTTGGCACTCAGGTCAATCAGCAATCAACAAACACATCTTGTTTATTTGCTTTAAGATAATTATGACTGCCGACTTTTAAACATGACCAATAGTTATTTTGTTGTATAGAGAGTGCATCAATATAAACTACATCAGATTGAGCCTCTTGCTCATATTTTTCGTCATTTCTTGGATGCTAGTTTAATTAGTACTAATCAATCAATCAATCAACCAATCAATCAGCAGCAACGTAGAATTTCGTACGTATGTACGTACGTACATCAGTTCCAGTTGCCATAGTACATTAGCACAGAGATATAATTGTCAATTCAAACCCCATATTATTAGAGGTAGTAAATGTATTAGAAGTAATCGGAGAGATTACGGTTCGAAGATATTATTCAGGATGTATTATTCAGTGAGGTAAATTTAGAAAGACAAAGGTAGAGGTGTTGACGAATCCAGAAGATTAAGATTTGAGAGAATACAAAGAATGAATGCACTTGCGCCGTTGCAAAGGGTTTTGAGCCATGTCATTCAGGGTCTCTAATCATCGATTACTATCATTTCGCGGACCCCAACCAGGTAGCCTACATCTACCAACATGACTCAGTCCACTAGTCAGTGACTTCATGGATTTGTGACATGTTTTGGTCTGGCCGCCCCTAGCTTTTTTCCCACCTACTCCTACACCACAAAACATAGCCCGACTAGTTAGTCGGTGATTAGGCATACGCAGCACATATCCCAACCACCTCAACTGATTGAGTTTCAATACTTCATTTATTGACCTGACATCCTTACGTAGCACCCATGTCCTAACAACTACATTGCGTACTCGCTTGTCCCATGATAAACGAGCCATGCTTCAACGACACCTAAGATCGAAAACAAGTAACCTACGAATATCTTTTATTCTGACAGGCCATGTTTCACTGCCATAAAGTAGGACGGGGCCATCTACTTCGTAGTAGACTCGTCCTCTCATCTGCGAAAAGACATCACGCCTGTCATAGGTGATGCTTTCTGTATCCGTACTGTGATTTCGTCAGTCAGCAGGCCATTAGCGCTGATGAAACTCCCGAGATAAGTGACGTGGTCGACACACTCGACTACTTCACTCCCTGTCACTTGTTCAGGTGTTGATTCAACCCAATCTTGATGCAAAATTTTGCATTTCGAGTGGGAAAACCGCATCCCGAACATGCTTGCATTGTCGCTCAGCGTAGTCAGAAGACTCTGCATTTTGTCAGCGTCTTCACCAAGTCGAACTATGTCATTAGCATGCCCTAAGTCAGCGAGCATGTACCCTGGATAAGGCTCGTTCCTGAAAAGTCAGAAGAATATAATATTATCTCTAAAAGCATGTCTATGACAAAGGTAAAAAAAGAAGAAGGAGAGTCGACATCCCTGACAAACACCACTTGAAGTGCAGAATTCCGATGACACTCCGCCATAAACTCTCACTCGACCAGTAGTGTTCAGGTAGAGAGCCTGATAAGGTTAATGTACTTCTTTCAATGACAGACACTGTTACAGAATCTCACAATCAACAGAGTTAAATGCCTCTTTAAGGTCTGGGAAGAGAACTATCGTACCAACCATTATTTTCTACATTAAATTCAGTTTGAATGTTGTTACCAGTCAGAAATGTATATTATCAAATATTTCACTTACATTTTATAGATTTTATTGTCTTAAAATATAATATATATATATATATATATATATATATACATATATATATTACTCTATTAAGGTTTTATTAATATTTTTGAAAAAAATATAATTATCGATAAAGGTTAATTACATAACCTTAGTATTTTGATTACTTTACTTTTCACCTTTTTTTTTTCGTGTTTTTTTATCTTACCAATTCACATACACTGTCATGTCATTGGATTATTTGTGTGTTGGTTTTTTTAAAAAATTTATTGATTTCGCAACTTTTTTTTAAATTTCTCACAATCAAGTTATGAGTTCATATATTATACTCGGTGACTAATTGTTACGCATGCACGTTAACATGTTGATTTGAATATGCTTGAAGTATTACGAGTTTACCTTAGTCAGTAAACGAGAGCGAGGATCGAGGATGCGGAGACGCGACAGGCTACTTTAATCCGAGTGTCCTAAACCCCCATTGAGTAAAAGAAGAAGACTTGATTTGAAGTAGAACATGTGCTCTACGAGCATCTAGAAAGAACGAGAACCAAGTCCGGAAGAAGGCAAGGACACCGGACTAGGGATCCTGGTCCGGCTCCGGTTCATAAAACATTACAGATAATGCGTATTTATACAGTTAGGTCGAATAGGAACCGACATTGAAATCTGTGACATTGATAGTTAGGAAGACCAATATGTGTAGCCATACCAGCACAAATCCATGAAGTGATTGACAAGTGGACTGAGTCATGTTGGTAGTTGTCGACTACGTGGTTGGGGTCAGCGAGACGATAGTCACCAATGGTTAGAGACTCAGAACAACATGGTTCAGAATCGTTTGCAATGGCACAGGTGCATCCACTCTTTGTGTGCTTTTTAATTCTAACTTTCTGAATTCCTCATAATCTCTATCTTTCTCCTTCTAAATTTATTTCACTGAATTATACTTCTCGAATCATATCTTCGCTCCCTAATCTTCTCCACTACTCTCTAATAATTCTACTATCTTTATCACTCTTGGATTTGAACTGACAGCTGCGTCTCTGTGCTGATGTGGTATGGCAACCTGAACTGATGTACACTTACGTACAAAGTTCTTCGTTGTATCTATCTATCTATATCTAGACCAATAGGAAACAACATTGGAGTACATGACATTGATATCTAGGACGACCATATAATTGACTAGTAATTCTTTTAGGATATTGGATCGGTATCCTAACACTAACGAATGGGGTTTATTTGTTTTACTGAAAGTTTATCTAGCTATCTTTAAAAACGACAAACTCTATGTGAGGGTTATATATCCTTCTAGAGCCTCCTAGAACTGGAATACATTAGTCAACTATTAAATCTGTGATTCGATCATTGAATCTGTTTACACAATAGAACATTGATTAACTCATCATGGATAGATGCTGATGATTGGTCAAAATCGATAGTAACGTGTTTTTACTACACGTTACTTTTTTGTTGTTGTTTAAATTCCGAATTATATTTTCTTAATTCCTGTTTTGATTTGTAGAAGATACTCATAGGTTACTGGTTTTCGATCATAGGTGTCTTTGAAGCATTGCTCGTATATCATGGCACACCCACGTGAGCAACACTGTTATTAGGAATCGGGTGCTAGGTAAGAATGGCAGATCAATCGATGAAGTATTGAAACTTCACCAGTTGAGGTGGTTGGGACATGTGTTGCGTATGCCAAACCACCGACTGCCTCGTCGAGCTTTGTTTTGTAGTGTAGAAATAGGGTGGAAGAAAGTTAGGGGCGGCCAAACCAAAACTGATGTACTTACATACGAAGTTCTACGTTGCATCTGACTGACTGATCAATATATATATACAAGCCATAAATATAGGCAATCTAATCTAATCATAAGATATTTTTATAATCTTATTGAAAAATTTATCCAAACCAGTGAGAAATAGTAATTTCATTTATAAATTATTATTATTTGTAGGTACATTTTCAGTAGTTTCACTTTTAACCGCTGATCCTGTCGATCGATTAACATCAACATGGAATGTGAATAATAATAGTCAATTGTTAGAAAAATATAATATTACGGATGAAAAACAATTAAATGATTTTCGTTTAACTATTGTTGTTACAGTATGTATATTGACTGGATTATTTCAAGTAAGTTGTGAATATATATATTTTCATTCATTGGTGTTTTAATTTTAATGTTTAATTTTGAAGCTAGCTAATCGTTATATAGTTGAACATGGAAGTATTTCTTTTGGTTTGTCAATTTCAAGCATTTAAATCAGTCAGTCAGTTAGATGCAATGTAGAACTTCGTACGTACGTACGTAAGTATATCAGTTCATGTTGTCATACCACATCAGCACAGAGATATAATTGTCAATTCAAATACAACAGTAGTAGAAGTAGTAAAGGTATTAGCAGTAATCGGAGAGGTTAGTAATTAGAAGATATTATTCAAGAAGTGTAATTCAATGACAAAAGTTTAGAAGAACAAAACTAGAGGTGTTGACGAATCCAGAAGATTAGGATTTGGGAGCACATAAAGAGTGGATGCGCCTAAGCCAATGCAAATGATTTTGAGCCATGTCATTCAAGGTCTCTAGCCATCGGTTATTATCGTCTGGCGGACTATAACCAGGCAGTCTACATCTACCAACATGAATCAGTCCACTTGTCAGTGAATTCATGGATTTGTGCCGCGTTTTGGTTTGGCCGCCCCTAGCTTTCTTCCAACCTATTCCTACACCACAAAACAAAGCTCGTCGAAGCAGTCGGTATTTAGGCGTACACGCAACACATGTCCCAACCACTTCAACTGATGAAGTTTCATTACTTCATCTATTGATTTGCAATTCTTACCTAGCACCCGTTTGCTAATAACAGCGTTGCTCACGTGGGTGTCCCATGATATACGAGGAATGCATCAAAGACACCTATGATCAAAAACCAGTAACCTACGAATATCTTCTACTCTGACTGGCCATATTTCGCTACCATAAAGCAAGACGGAGCGAATCACCGCGCAGAACACTCGTCCTTTAGTTAGGAAACGGATATCTCGCCTACGCCATAAGTGACGCAGGTTGGCAAAAGCCAATCGAGCCTTCTGTATCCGTGCTGAGATTTCGTCAGTCACCAGGCCATCAGCATTGATGAAACTCCGTAGATAAGTGAAGCAGTCTACACGCTCGACTACTTCACTACCTATCACTGATTCAGGTGTTGATTCGATCCAATCTTGAAGCAACATTTCGCATAAATCATTAATGAGAGTTGATGGTAAACTATTATTGGAACTGATTACGTCAAGTGGTGTTCATTAAGGTTGTCCACTCTTTACCATTCTTATTCAACTTTGTCATAGACATGCTTTTAGAAATAACACTTTCCTTGTTTGATTTCTCGGGAATTGAACATTTACAAAGAGATTCGCTTCTCGACTTAGATCCCGATGTCTCTGGCAGAATTCGGCGTCTTCTAACCACCTTAAGCAACATTGAAAAGCTGTTCGGGATGCAATTCTTCCCCTCCAAATGCTAATTGTTGCTTTAGGATTGGCTTGCATCGGCACTTAAACTAGTCATAAGGAGTGAAGCAGTTGAGCGCGTTGACAGCTTCAGTTATCTTAGGAGTCTTATCAGTCCTGATGTCCTGATTTGTGACGAAATCTCAGCACGGATACGTGTAGGAGTAGGTTGGAAGAAAGCTATGGGCGTCCAGACCAATACATGGCAAAAATCCATGTTGGTAGGTTTGCACTAGCAGGTTGGGGTTCGCGAGTTCGTATTAACCGATGGTTAAAGATCTTGAATGACATGGCTCAAATCTGTTTTCAATGGCGCAGGTACATCCATTCTTTATGTTCTCCTAAATTTTAATCTAAACTCTTCATGACCTTTATCTTTCTCGTCTCAAATCCATTTTACTGAATTATACTTCTTGAATAATATCTTCGGACAGTGAATTTAGAGGATAACTATATGGATTAATTCTACTGCAAATTGGCATCAATCGGTAAACTACCGATAACCAGACAGTATGATACGATGGTTATTTGGTGGTTTCTTAGCATGGTAAACAAGTCTAGCAATAAGAAAAATGTCATTCAGAGTCTTCTGAGTTGACATCTATTTTTTTTCACCTACAATTGTCACATGACTTTATTTGTATCTAGAATCATTGAGAAGGTACCTCGATACTTGTTATAACGCTGCTACGTATAGCTGCTATTCAGTCCTAGCGGCGTCCAATTCAAATATCCCAATACGACCCAAAATGCTATTTCCAAATCTCCTAGATATCAGAACGCAACACCGTGGGATGGAGTTGTTTA